CCCTCCTATAAATGTGACCAAAAAGCTAACAAAATCAGGAGGCTCATTCTAGACACAATTGTTCCATCTCAGGATTCCTAGTTCCCTTAAGTAATTGAGGGTTATAAGGTCCCTGATCATCCTGAAGGTCAGAGTTCAACAGCCAGCCATGTGTTTTGCAGCTGTCATCATGGCAGCTCCTTAGCTCTGACTGGAGTGATGCCTTTATTCAGTATGCCTGCCCCTATCCTCACAGCCAACTAGCTTATTTCTCTGCCTCCATAGATGTCATTGTCCCTGACAATGGGGAACCAGTGGGCACCAGAGAGATCAAATGTTGCATCCGAGAGATCCAGGAACTCATCATCTCCCGGCTGAATCAGGCGGTAGCTAACAAGCTGATCAGCTCTGTGGATTACCTACGTGAGAGCTTTGTTGGAACCCTGGAACGGTGTCTGCAGAGCCTAGAGAAGTCTCAGGATGTCTCAGTTCACATCACCAGTAATAATCTCAAACAGGTACTCAAAGAATGTTTAAGATACCATGTCACAGGTAATGCATGAAACAATCCACACACAAGCCCAACTTCAAGTTAGCCAAGAATTTCCCTTTCAACTTTTTGCTGATCCAATTAGAATTTTGTTTTTCTTATCACATGACCATTGCCTGTGGGAGGTGCTTGTGAACTGTATGTACATTGCTGTTAAGTCGATAAGCAAGAAGAAGATGAAAGGGCGGCCAGTTAGCTCAGGTGGTTAGAGCGCAGGCTCATAACACCAAGGTTGCCGGTTCAATTCCCAAATGGGCTGCGGAGCTGTGCCCTCCACAACTAGACTGAAGATAACTACTTGACTTGGAGCTGATGGGTCCTGGAAAAACACAATGTTCCCCAATAAAATTTCTTTAAAAAAAAAAGAAGAAGATGAAGAAAACGGGCCCAAATAGACACAAAATTGGTGATCAACTTGCATTGACTCTGCACATATCTTGAGGAATAAATTTGAGAACCTGGAGACCAGACTGTGTTCTTGAAGTAAATATCATTTATTGCATTTTTAAAATAGCCACTCTACTCAGGGCATATTGATTTTCTTTTGTGTGCTCTCTTTCAGATCTTAAATGCCGCCTATCATGTCGAAGTCACATTTCACTCAGGGTCCTCAGTTACAAGGATGCTGTGGGAGCAAATCAAACAGGTAGAGGTTGCCTAGGGAAAAAAATTTTAGCCCTT